TACAGAAGCTGACTGGACTGATGGGTGAATCTTCCTTAAAGCCTGGCATCTGAATATTCTGTCCTAAAAATGCCCCACAAACTAGAAGCCAAACCAGAAGGGGCTAGAAATCTACTTGTTTTATTAGGGGAAAAGAAATTTAAAATATATTAAACAATGCAAATGAGAGGAAGGGCTGTGATCTATTTCAAAGCCGATTTGTTGCTCCAAGAGACTAGTTATAGTACATCCCACCACAACTGTCACTATTTGGCAGGGCAATCCTGATTAATCTTTTGTTCTACTTTTTTCATCTGTTTCTATAATGTCCCAGTTGCTCTCTCCTCCTCCCACTTTCCCCTGTTGTCCTCAGTTTGCTGCAATTACTGTAAACCATGTTCAAAGTGCAAAACTAGTTCACACTTATATAAGTCAGTACAAGGGACAGGAACTTAAGGGGCAAAATCCCAACAGGCAAAAGCAAATTGCTGTATAACTTCCTAGCTTGTGTGTTCTTCCTCATTAATAATATTCGCCATCTTCATCAACCTCTGATGTTGCTTGTTGGATTCATGTCCCAGTTTTCAACCGTGAAATGCTGTTGGGCATGCTAGCAGAGAACTCACCTTCTTATTACCTGTAAAAGGATTATATTTGGGAAAGGGGGGGCAGGTCAGGACAACAAAAAACACTTTGGGGCCACATGCAGACCCAGGACTACACTTTGCCCATCTTTTCTTTAAAACAAACATTCCCCTTTCTGATCATTTCCAAAATGTCACCACCACCACCACCCCAAAAGAAAGGGTTTCTTGCAGACCTATTGTTTGCACTTCAAATCATGTATGCTTTATCATTGTCTCTGCTCCGTCCTCAACTCCATGTAGAACACTGATGGATTCTCTGTTGAATGAGTATTGGGTTTTAGTTAAACATGACAGAGGGAGAGATTTATGGGCCAGGGCCTGTGAGGTTTGCTCAAAAGGGCTTCATAAATGCTCCAGCGCACACACAGTTTTGTTGTCGTCCTTCTTTTGCTGAAAGTTTGCCATGTCCCTTAGATGATAAGGAGCCCGTAGACCTTCCGCATCATTACGGGCCTCCTGCTCTCCTTTTAAAAGCCAAGTGTGAACGGCACTATAACGTTTCTTTCTTTGGCATTTCAAAGTAAACAGGCCTGAAGGAGCCAGCTCATGTCAGGAATGCTGTGCTAATGAGGACAAATTATATTCTAATCAGGTTTCTCCATTATTCCGGGCACCGTTGTTCCTCACTCTTTGCTTTGCCTCCATCTCCCCCTTCCACCAAATTGCTCCGCAATCCCCTTTCTTTGTGTCCAATTGAAAGTTGCAAATGAAATACTGGGTGGAGTGGTTCTGTACCCCCCTTCCCATCCACACACACACATTATTCACATTAAAGAGTCTTTTTGCCACTTAGTGTGGGCCTAGGTGTTAAACAGTTTAAATCTGACCCTCTTTCTCTCCAGTGGTATGAATGGGCTAGAACACAACGGCTGGCTAATGGAGGGAGTTTGGGTGGGTAGATCTTAATAATTTAATCACATTAAGCCATTTCTCTCTAACGGTCTAAATGTTGTCATCATTGTTTGGGGCATCAAAATCAGCTTCCCAATTCATTCCATGGTGTAACTGAAAGAGAGGCAGAGAACTGTAGTGTTTTCATTCTTTAAGGGGAAAAAATCTGGATTTTTTTTTTAAATTGCTTTGGAGTTGGGGGGGATGAGCCGTGGAGACCACTGCATTATTTATTACAATAAATTATTGCCATGCCTAACTAATCAATCTGTATAGCTACCATTCCCCTAAAACAATGTTGCAGGTTGCTTTTGTACATTTAAATCCAAATAAAAACAACATGCTCCACAACTTTTGTAAAATACATCAGTAAGCTACATCAGGGTTGTAACATCTATGATGCTTTTACACAACTCCTGTGTTGAATGGAAATGTTGCACAATTGAAACAAGATGGGAAAGCAAACACAAAACCAAATGGGCATTTATTGTTGTTGTTGTTGTTGTTGTTGTTGTTGTTGTTTGGAAAAGGAAAGCCTCAACTGGCATCTGATGAAAGTCAATTCACTGGATTTGCATCTGGATTTATATTCCTACTAGCTAAGTGGACCTGGGCAAAGCATTGTCTCTCAAACCAACCTACCTTGCAGGGTTGTTTTGAGCTTCTAAATGGGATGATCCACAGTTCCTCAGAAGAACATAAAAGAAATGTAATAAATGAATGAATTAGCCATTTTCCTTTAGAAAAGCCCACAGCACCCTTTCTCCAGCCTGCATTTAAACTGAACTCAACTAACGAGCAATTATTTTTCCTCTCAAGAAGAACGCAAACCCAAGCAGATGATATGCCTTTGCAAGTGTGTGTGTGTCTGTACGTCTCCATGGATGGATCTAAACATATTCTTTCTTTTTAGTTCTTCAGAGCCAGAA